GAATACTTCTTTCCAGCCCCTTCTTGCCTGTAAGATCTCTTTTGAGAAATCAGCTGACAGTCTTATGGGCACTTCTTTGTAGGTAACTGTTGTCTTTTCTCTTGCTGCTTTTAAGATTCTCTCCTTCCCTTTCATCTTGGGTAATATAATTATTATGTGTCTTTATGTGTTCCTCCTTGTGTCCACCTTCTTTGGGACTCTTTGAGCTTCCTGGACTTCCTGGAAGTCTATTTTCTTTGCCAGATTGGGGAAGTTATATTTTATTATTTGTTTAAATAACTTTTGCACTTGTTGCTGTTCCTCTTCTCCTCCCGGTACCCCTATAATTCGGATGTTAAAATGTTTAAAGATGTCCTGGAGGTTCCTAAGCCTCTCCTCATTTTTTTTTTGAATTCTTGTTTCTTCATTCTTTTCTGGTTGGGTGTTTCTTTCTTCCTTCTGGTCCACTCCATTGATTTGAGTTCCAGTTTCCTTCCCATCTCTATTGGTTCCCTATACATTTTTCTTTATTTCACTTAGTGTAGCCTTCATTTTTTTTTCATCTAATTTGGACCAAATTTAACTAATTCTGTGAGCATCCTGATCACCTGTTTTTGGAACTGTGCATCTGATAGGTTGGCTATCTCTTTGTTGCTTAGTTGTATTTGTACTGGAGCTTTGATCTGTTTTTCCATTTCGGCCATTTTTTTGTCTTGACGCACCTGTTACATAGTAAGGGGCGGAGCCCTAGGTGTTCATCTGGGTGGGGTAGCCCATGTCGCTGTTGTAATGATGTATGTGGGACAGGGGTCTGAGGGGGAACAATGGCACTCACTCCACTCTGCTGGTTTTCAGTCACTTCCCTCACTTTCCACCAGCAAATTGGGCCCTTCTGGTGCTGATTCTTGTGTGGGTGGGTTTGTGTACATTCTAGGACCCTGAGGGTCTCTCCAATGAACTCTCCTTTGACACTGGGAATTTCTCCTGCTGCCTCAACCCCCCAAGTATTTTCAGTCAGAGGTTTGAGGCTTTATTTCTCCTCACTGGGGCCCTGGGTTGCACAGTCTGTCCCACTCTCCAGTTGTTTCTCCTGGTTTATCTGCACGTGAATGTGGGGTTGTCCACTCCACAATCCGCTGCCTCACTGGGTTTGCCAGCCACTGGCTTGCTGCAAGTCCTCTTTGCCTGGCTGCCTGTTTCCTCCCCTCCTACCAGTCTGGATGAATGTGTCTTCTTTAACTCCTTGGTTGTTGGACTTTCATACAGTTCAGTTTTCTGTCAGTTCTGGTTGTTTTTTATTTTTAAATTGTTGTTGTCCTTCTTTTGGTTGTGTGAGGAGGCACAGTGTGTCTACCTATGCCTCCATCTTGGCCAGAAGTCCTTGTCTCTCATCACTGGATATGCTTCAAGGGATGCTCTCTCTATCCTACTCATATTTATAAATTTCTTCCTTCAGAGAGCCTGAAATGAGTATCTTCAGGGTTAGGGAATTCCTCCACAATAATGATTTATGTACCTCATGCTTAGATTAGGTTTGAATTAACCCATTCACTGTGACACAGAGATGCCATAGGTGTTTCTCTCTAAAACCCTGAGGATTCAGGTCTTTGTTGTGAGGAAGGCATGGGAAACAGTAGCAGCAGGCATATTTAAAGGTCCTTATGAGATTTTTATTCTTAGGAGTGTAGATCTCAAAATGGCTCATAATGTCTACATTTCTTTCCTTCCCCCTCCCACCCTGACCCTTCTCTCTTTTTCCTTTCTATTTCCTTTCCCCCTCTCTGTTTCTCTCTCTCTCTCTCTGTTTCTCTCTAATTACTACTCTTTTGTGAGCAACCATCCAATTAACCTATATTGTGCACAGGGTATACTGTTTCCCCTGAGCACCCACAGGGGCCAATGCCTTGTTGAAACAGACAATCATATCAGGTAAGAATCTTTCTCCTGACCCTAGTGTCATTCACATCTTCATTCAAAGACATCTTCATACAGATATGTTTGTTGAGACCCAAGATCCAGTGCCACATTAAGGAAAGATTCAATTTCATACTCTTGTCTCTAAAAGCTAAGTAATTATTGAATCTTCTAAGTCAGGTCAGTTAGATCTAGAAGAAAGAATTGGAAAGACTCAACAAATGCAGCACAGTGCAGCACTGTGTAAAATGCAAGCTTGCTAGCAGGGACTAGCTCAAAGTGCATGTTTGCCATCACACAGCCAAGCCAGAGCAAGAAAAGACAGACTTGCAATGGTGGTGGCCATTGTCTTAGTGGCCCACTCACTGCATCAAGTGTAGCAAGCACTCTACAGAAATAGGATGGACTGCCACCCAAAACTTGGCTTGGATGTTGAGGCTGAAAATGCCACACATATAGGAGAGTATGAAAATTTTAATCCTAATATGAAGATCTCCCTGTCTGTAGAGAGCATAGCAGCCTTTCTAAGCTGTTCTGAAATGCCATGAGAGGTCAAGGAAAGTGGCTTTAAAAAACCTGGGTACAGGACTCATGGGCATGGACAATGGGGTGGGGATTGATGATGGGGAGGTGGTGGGCAGGGCAGGGAGAAGCAATGGAGAGAATGGTGAGACAATTGTAACTGAACTACAATAAAAAAACAACAACCCCAAAACCATTGTGGTTAGGATGTGGGTTCGGAGTGAGTTCCTGCATATGAAAATCTTTCCCCGTCACAAAAAAAGGGAGGACCTGGCCTTTTTCTTAAAAAGAGGTATGATCAACATACAATTAAGTAAATGCTGAAAATCACTTTGTACCCAAACCAGTACTGGCTGAGAGTACCTCTTTTTTTGTATCTTGGCCAACACCAGGTATTAACAATCGTTGCCAAGTTGATAGGTGAAAAATAGTATCGATTTAATTTGTTTATTTCCTAGTTAGGCTAAATTTTTTTCTATGTTTTTGTCTACTTGTATTTCTTCTTTTATGACATGGGTATTCACATGTTTTGTTAATTTTTAATTAATTTCTTTTTTAACCATTTTAAAGTATACAGTTTATTTCATTAATCTTTTTAAAATATATTTTGTTTTCCATTTTTAAAATTTAATTATTTTTCAAGTACAGTTTTCTGCTTTTTACTCCCTTCCCAGCCCACCCCCCATGATCCCCACCTCCCTCCCATTTCCACCCCCCATAGCTGTTGTCCATGTGTCCTTTATACTAGCTCCTCTAAATCCCTCCCCTTTTCCCCCTGAAATTCCCTCCCCTCTCCCCCCTGGTCGCTGTCCTCCCATTCTCCATTTTAGTGTCTTTGTTTTTATTTTGCTTGCTTGTTTGTTTTGTTGTTTAGCTTCCTGTTAAAGGTGAGATCATCTGGTATTTGTCCCTCAACACCTGGCTTACTTCACTCAGCATAATGCTCTCCAGTTCCATCCATGCTGTTGCAAAGGGTAGGAGTTCCTTCTTTCTCTCTGCACATACATGAATATTAAATTTTTATTTACTTGAAAATATGCTTCATTTTCCTAGAACTTGGTCCAGCATACCACTGTTTCTCAAGTGTTCCTAGTTAGTTCCTATATCTTTTTTCATTTTTCAATTACAGTTTACATTCAGTATAATTCTGTGTTAGTTTCAGATGCACTGCATTGTGGTTAGAAAATCATGTACTTTACAGAGTTGGTTCCCCCCAGTATTTCAAGTACCCACCTGGCCCCATACATAGTTATCATGATACTATTAACTATATTCCCTATGCTGTAGTTTTACATCTCTGTGACAATTCTGTAATTACCAATCTGTACTTCTTAATCCCTTTACCTTTTTCCCCCAGTCCCCTAACCACCCTCCCCTCTGTCAGCCTGTTCTGTGTATCTATGAGTTTGTTTCTATTTTGTTAGTTTATTTTGTTCATTAGATTCCACATATAAGTGAAATCATATGGTGTTTGTCTTTCTCTGTCTGACTTATTTCACTTAGCATAATACCCTCCAAGTCCATCCATGCTGTGGCAAATGGTAAGATTTCTTTTTTTTAATGCCAGATAGATATTTCATTGTGTAAATATACCACAGCTTTTCCACCCATTCATCTATTGAAGGGTACTTGGGTTGCACCCAAATCTTGGCTATTGTAAATAGTGCTGCAATGAACATAGGGGTGCATATATTCTTTTAAGTTAGTGTTTCAGGTTTCTTTGGATATATACCTAGAAGTAGAATTGCTGGGTCACAAGACCATTCCATTTTTAATTTATTTTGAGGCATCTCCACACTGTTTTCCATAGTGGTTTTACTAATCTGCACTCTCACCAACAGTGCACCAGAGTTCCTTTTTCTTCACATCCTCACCAGCACTTGTTTGTTGACTTGTTGATGATAGCCATTCTGATAGGTGTGAAGTGATATCTCATTGTGGTTTTGATTTGCATTACTCTGATGATTAGTGATGCTGAGCATCTTTTCATATGTCTATTGGCCATTTGTATGTCCTCTTTGGAGAAGTGTTTATTCATGTCCTTGCCCATTGTTCTTTCGTTGTAGGAGTTCTTTGTAAATTTCAGATATTAACATTTACCAGGTATACCATTGGTGAGTATGTTCTCCCATTTAGTGGGTTGTCTTCATTTTGTTGATGATTTCCTTTGGTTTTTAGTTTATTATTAACTGTAGTCACCATGTTGTACATTACATCCCCCATGACTTTTTTATTTCATAACTGAAGAGCCAAGTCTTTCTTATCAGCTAGCCCAGATGTTGCAGAAGGGGATGAGAGAGAGAGGAGTGGTTTGAAAACCATTAGTAGCCAAACATCACACACAAAAAGTGAATTCAGACACTTTATTACATAAATCTTATAGGGTACATATAAATAACAAAAATCAAGGGAGTGAATTGCGCTGAATTTGGATAAAATACATTTGACTGCTTATTATTGTCCTTGAACTAAGGTCACTTTAAAAAAAACATTTTTTTCTTTAAGAAAGAAGGATGTTTCTCATTCCCTTTCTTTCCTTCACAGGAAGGGACTGATATGTCACTGTGTTTATGGACTTATAAATCTCTAAATAACCTTACTTCTCTAATTTCTTTAGCCCATTTTTTCCCAAAGTGATGCATGTAGTAACAGGTTAATGAAGAAAAATCCAGTATGAAAAGAGTTCTAAGAAGAATGTTTGTCATAACTGAGAAATATTACTAAAGGAGAATGGTCCATAAGTGTGAATACTTTATGTATGAATTGCCTAAATCCAAAATACAGACACACTGGTGTGCTTGTTTCCTGTATACCAGCTCTCATGTATCTTCCAAAAGGTGTTTCTGCTATGTGGAACCACAGAATCTCACAGGTGCATTGCAATTCCTCCTTCTGGGGTTCTCAGATCATCCAGAACTTCAGCCTCTAACTTTCAGCCTCTTCCTGTCCATGTACTTGGTGACCATGCTGGGGAACCTGCTCATCATCCTGACCATCGGCTCTGACTCTCACCTCCACACTCCCATGTACTTCTTCCTCTCCATCCTATCCATGACTGACATTGGCTTTACTTCTACCACCATGCCAAAGATAATTTGGGACATTCAAACTCACAGCAGAGTTATTTCCTATGCTGGCTGCCTGATTCAGTCATCTTCTTTTTATTTTTTTGGATGTTTGGACGGTATGCTCCTAACTGTGATGGCCTATGATCGGTTTGTGGCTATTTGTTACCCCCTGCACTACACAGTCATCATGAACCCTCACCTCTGTAGCCTGTTGGTTCTGGTGTCTTTTTTGATCAGCCTTTTGGACTCCCAACTGCACTGCTTGATGATATTGCAGCTTTCTTTTTGCACAAATACAGAAATTCCTCATTTCTTCTGTGATCCTCCGCAACTCCTCAAGCTTGCTTGTAATGATAACTCTACCAATCAAATGTTACTCTATTTTATTGGTGCCATCTTTGGTGGTATTCCAGTCTCAGGGATCTTTTTCTCTTACTATAAAATTGTTTCCTCCATTCTGAGAGTCCCATCATCAGGGGGGAAGTATAAGGCCTTCTTCACCTGTGGCTCTCACCTTTCAGCTGTTTGTTTATTTTATGGAACAGGGCTTGGGGTGTACCTCAGTTCTATCATCTCACATTCTTTCAGAAATGATGCAGAGGTGTCTGTGGTGTTTGCTGTGGTCGCCCCCATGCTGAATCCTTTCATATATAGTCTAAGGAACAGGGATATGAAGAGGGCCATGCGGAGGCTCCTCAGCAGAATAGCCTAGTCTCAATACTTGGGCCATTGTGGGTTTTTTGTCTGTGGGTTGAAAATGACTGCAAAACCAACATCTGGAATTGGCAAACATACCTCTTCAATTATACAATTTTTGTAGCTCATGGTTTTTATTCATCTTTATTTATATATCTGAAAATTGCTTATTTTGACACATCTTTATTGGAATTAAAGGAGTATTCTGAGATCCTATGTATGTCAGAAATCACCTCACAACTGAATCCTATTACAACTGTGGAATCTTCTGTATTTGTCATCTAGGATCCAGGTATCCTGTAGAAATTCACAACTCCCTTTTAATGTGTATGTATATGTATATATGATTCTCAACTATTTTCACTGTCCATGTCTATTTTTTCATAAAACTTTGTCTTCAGACAAATGTATTAGTGCAGGCTGTGTCAGAGAATGTGTGTCACTGATCCACAATCTAGACTTCTTATTGAAAGCATCAAATGAGCTTTAAAAATCTTTGTGCCTCAGTTCTATCACCATACAGAAAGATTTAATTGGATTGGAGAGTGAAAAGAGCATAATGTTCTTTTTAAAAATTATTTTATTGTTGTTCAAGTACAGTTTTCTGCATTTCCCACCTCCCCACTCCCCACCCTAGGGATCCTTACCTCCCTCCCCTGATTCCACTTTCCTTGGTTTTGTCCATGTGTCCTTTATAGTTGTTCCTGAAAACCCTTCCCCACTTTCCCCCCACTATCCCCTTTCACCTCCCCTCTGTCAGATTGTTTTTAATTTCAATGGTTCTGGTTATATTTTGCTTGCTTCTTTGTTTTGTTGATTAGGTTCCACTTAAAGGTGAGATCATACGGTATTTGTCTTTCACTGCCTGGAATATTTTACTTAGCATAATGCTCTCCAGTTCCAATTATGCTGTCACAAAGGGAAGGAGTTCTTTCTTTCTACTGTGTAGTATTCCATCATGTAAATGTACCATAGTTTTTTGATCCATTCATTTACTGATGGGCACTTAGGTTGCTTCCAGCACTTGGCTATTGTAAATTGTGCTGCTATGAACATTGGGGTGCATAGGTTCTTATGGATTGGTGTTTCAGGGTTATAATCCCAGTGGTGGAATTGCCAGGTCAAAAGGCAGTTCCATTTTTAGTTTTCTGAAGAAATTCCATACTGTTTTTCATAGTGTCTGCACCAGTCTGCATTCTCACCAACAGTGCACTAGGGTTCCCTTTTCTCCATATCCTCTCCAACACTTGTTTGTTAATTTGTTTGTGATGGCCATTCTGACCATGGTCACTGTGGTATCTCACTGTGGTTTTCATTTGCATCTCTGTGATCGCTAGTGATGCTGAGCATCTTTTCATATGTCTCTGGGCCCTCTGTATGTCCTCCTTGGAGAAGTGTCTGTTCATACCTTTTGCCCATTTTTAAATTGGGTTGTTTATCTTCCTGGAGTGGACTCATGTGAAAACAGCATAATGTTCTTAACAGCACCCTAGGTGGGTCTCAAGTGTAGCCATGGTGGTGAACTACTGACTTTTGTCAGATTTTCTATTTAAAAACAACTTGCATGTCTTGGGTTGTTTACTGTTCATGATCAGATCCTGAAGACCTTTTTTTATACTTTATTTTTATTCTGTTACAGTTGTCCCAAATTTTTCCCTTTTGCCCCCTCCACTAAGCCCACCCCTCTCTCTCATAGTCATTCCTTTTCCATTGTCCATGTCCATGAGCCATTCATACATGGTTTTTGACTAGTTCCTTCCCCTTCCTGAAGATCTTAAAGTGATCAGAGCTCATAAAGGAAAAGATATGAAAGAGTTTGCTTTGGTAACAGCCAATGTGATTTTCTCTCTCATATTCCATGTAGTATCTTTTTTAAAATCATGTTTTATTTTTTAAAAAAAATTTATTTAGTTATTTTTCAAGTACAGTTTTTGTCTATTTCTCCCATCCCAGCCTCCCCCGCCCCTTGCTCCCCACCTCCCTCCCATTTCCACCCCCTTAGTTCTCGTCCCTGTGTCCTTCATATTTGTCCCTCCAAATCCCTCCCCTTTTTTCCCCTTAAATTCCCTTCCCTCTCCCCTCTGGTCACTGTCCCCTTGTTCTCTATTTCAGTGTCTTTGTGTTTATTCTGCTTGCTTGTTTGTTTTGTTGTTTAGCTTCCTGTTAAAGGTGAGACCATATGGTATTTGTCTTTCAACACCTGGCCTATTTCACTCAGCATAATGCTTTCCAGTCCCATCCATGTTGTTGCAAAGGGTAGTAGCTCCCTCTTTCTCTCTGCTGCATAGAATTCCATTGTGTATATGTACCACAATTTTTTGATCCATTCATTTACTGACGGGCACCTAGGTTGCTTCCAACTCTTGGCTATTGTAAATTGTGCTGCTATGAACATTGTGGTGCATAGGTTCTTTGAAATTGATGTTTTAGGATTCTTAGGATATAATCCTAGCAGTGGAATTGCTGGGTCACAGGTAGTATGTTTTCACATACCTTCTACCTGTATTCTCTACAGCTGTCTCTCTGTACTGAATATTAAACTATTGTTTTTCTGCTCCAAACTAACCCTTTTATACTTTCAACTGTGATACTGTGGTGGAGGCTCTGATTTGCTCACTGGCTTCTCTTTAGTTTCTTTCATTAATGGTTAGTAAAGGGCACAAGCCCTGACCTCTTGGCCTATGGAGTTATCACTACATCCTGCAGTTAAGTCACTGTATTGCCATATTTTTATTTTACACCTTTCATCTTTAAAAAGCTACTTAAATTATCTATACCTATATTAAAGGTTATACCTATATTAAATTATCTTCATTTAAAATGACTAGTGTGGTTTCCCTTACCTTGATTGAACCCTCAAAATATGGGAATAAAGCTATGGTGGGGCATGTAACTGGAAAAACACAAAGTGATCTCAGAACAAAAAGGTGATTGGAATGATATGTCTTGGTCACAGACTGAGGTTTTAAAGTATTGGAGTGGTATCTACAGCAACTGTGCAGTTCTAATTGCATATGTGGATTGTTACCCAAGTCATTATAAATAAATTTAAGTCTATCTTCATTTTCATTACTCAGCGATAGCAAAATACCATGTCCTCAGCAAAGGGGAAATTTTTTTTTACTAATAATTTTCTTCTGTCTTATACTACATACCAGTTATCTATGTATATTTCCTTTAAAAATGCACATTTTCTGAAGCAGAAGTCTGGGCTTTCTGAAAAGCTGTCCAATAACTGGTTTAATTTACTCTGTCTTTTACCACTAAGCTAAATCACCTACCAACTTCACTAATAATGAAGTGAATATTTGATTGGCTCAATTTAATATTAGATTTTCCCTGCTGCCCAAGCATTCTAAAATGTCTCAACATTCACATTACTTCTTCACTTCTCTACACTCCTGCCATTTGGTCATTTTGGTTCCCTAAAAGTTTCCTCTGTCATTTACACACCCAAACATAATTAGCATAGTTTATTTTATATCCAACTTAACTGGTCAAGTAATTAAGTTTTCTTCACATTAGTTACTGTGAAATCATTTTCTGAGCTCCTCAAGAGAAATCTGAGCCAGGAGGCCTGCAAAGATTAGATTGGGTTGGCACAGATCATGATTCCCGTACATACCATTTTCTCTGACTGTAAAAGCCAAAATCACATTTTTAAATACTTTAAGGACTTCTGCCAAGATGGAGAAATAGGTGGAGATGCCATGCTTCCTCACACAACCAAGTTTAGAGACAACTTAATGTTAGCAATAGAAAACACAGCCAGAACACAGAAAATTGAACTTTTCGGAAGTCTGATAACAACAAATTCTTCAGCCTGACCGGTAAGAGGGATGAAACCAGCAGCTGGAGGAGCAGGGTTGCACAGGAAAACTCCGTCAGACGGACTCAGGCGCACGGAATCCAGGCGCAGGTTTGGACCTGGTGGGCAACTCAGTGAGGGACCTCGGGGAAACAGCAAGGGAGCAGGGCTGCGGGTTGACTTTGGTCTCGCATCCTTGCGTGGATAGACAAGCGAGGGAGTGGGCGATTGGACGGGACCCAGCAGGCCCCAGTGGCGAGTGGCAGCAGAGGGCGTCGCCATTTCCCCGCTCTGACCCCACTTCCACACACAGTGTCATAACCCAGCGACCTAAGTGGCCCTGCCCTGGTGAACCACCTGAGGCTCCGCTCCTCACCCAGCAGCAAGAAACAGCAGAGGGGGCCGCCATTTCCCCGCTGTAACCACGCCCCCACATACAGTGTCACAACCCAGTGACCTGGGAGTCCAAGGCTCCGCTCCTCAAACTTAAGGGGCGCAAACAGACCAAAAATGGCTCAAGAAGATCTCAAAGCCCCAGAGCCTATAAATCTAAGCGATGAAGAAATAGCACAACTCTCAGATGCACAGTTTAAAACACTGGTGATCAGGATCCTCACAGAACTGGTTGATTATAGCCACAAATTAGAGAAACATATGAAGGTGAAACTAATTGAAATGAATGGAATTACACAGAAAATCAATAGCGATGAAAAGGAAAATGGGTCTCAAATCAATGGAGTGGACCAGAAGAAAGCAAATAATGGCCAAACAGAAAAGAGTGAAGAAGCAAGAATACAAAGAAATGAGGAGAGTCTTAGGAACCTCCAGGACATCTTTAAATGCTCCAACATCCGAATTATAGGGGTACCAGAAGGGGGAAAGGAACAGCCACCAGTGGAAAACTTATTTGAACAAATAATAAAGGAGAATTTCCCCAATCTGGCAAAGGAAATAGACTTCCAGGAAATCCAGGAAGCTCAGAGTCCCAAAGAAGCTGGACCCAAGCAGGAACACACCAAGGCACATCATCATTACATTAGCTAAGATTAAAATGAAGGAGAGAATCCTAGAAGCAGCAAGAGATAAGGGGACAGTCACCTACAAAGCAGTTCCCATCAGACTGTCAGCAGATTTCTCAAAAGAGACCTTACAGGCAAGAAGGGGCTGGAAAGAGGTATTCCAAGTCATGAAATCCAAAGACCTACAACCAAGATTGCTCTATTCAGCAAAACTTTCATTTAGAATGGAAGGGCAGATAAAGTGCTTCTCAGATAAGATCAAATTCAAGGAGTTCATCATCACCAAGCCCTTATTATATGAAATGTTAAAGGGACTTATCTAAGAAAAAAGAAGTTAAAAAAACATGAACAGTGAAAGGACAGCAAACTCACAGTTATTAACAACCACACCTAAAACAAAAGCAAACTAAGAGGACAGCTAGATCAGGAGTGGAACTATAGAAATGAAGATAACATGGAGGGTTAGCAACAGGGGAGTGGGAGAAGGGGGGAGAAGGTACAGAAAATAAGTAGCATAGACAGTAGATAGAAAATAGATGGGGATGGGAAGAATAGTATGGGAAATATAGAATCTAAAGAACTTGAGACACATGGTCATAAACTAAAGGGGGGTAATGGTGGGGATAGGGGGATAGGGTGGAGGGGAATGAAGGGGGGAATAGAACAACTGTAATGGCATAATCAATAAAAATAAATAAATTTAAAAAATAAAATACTTTAAGAGTTAAAATGCAAAGATTATAAGGAAAATATATTTTGAGACCATAAGTCTTTAGTAGTGGAGCAAATAGAAGCCTCTAGAGACATGTGTTGAATTAGTCCTGAAATGACCATGGTTTCTTCTGGCAAAGAGGAAGGGCCCTGTTGGTATAAGAGAAACCAGGGAGATTTCTTCTCATGGTGGCCAGAAGCAGCATTGTGGAGTCAGCAGAAATACCTAAAACAGGGCAAGTTCTTCTATGTGCTAGTTCTTCTCGAGTAAAGTGGGGTTTTTTTTTTTTTTTTGAGAAGATGGTAATGTGAAAGGTTGGGACTGTCTCTCTGGAAAGCAGAGAGACATCTCTAGTACCTTGTTGTGCTCAGGGCCTAAGTTCCTGATGGAAATTGAGGCCTTTTGGTGGGCAGCCTCTCAGATGCCCCTGCTATCCTCTGCTTCCTGTGTTCATTACCTTCTATATACCCATCTCCATGGGGGTTAGACCTTGTGACTTACATGCAATGAATAAAATTTTGAAAAATGTTGGTCTTTTACTTCAACATAAGCAAAACAAACAAACGAAACACCTCATACACACAGACAAAACTATGGTGATTACCAGAGGAAAGGTTGGTAGGGGCAGCTGAAGAGGGTAAATAGGGAATAAATGATGCTGGAATCAATAAATAAACTTGATTTGTGGTGGTAAATGTGCAATACAATATACAGATGATGTATTATGGAATTGCACACCTGAGAGCTAATAATTTTATTAATGAATGTTACCCTAATAAATTAAGTTAAAAAAGATGAGATGACTGCAGGCCTACATCCAGGACACAGACATCTGTGAAGCCCCCTGTCAGATTTATGAAAATTGCTATTTGGCAAAATAGCTATATATCAAAATAGATGGTTGTTTAATATAATAACAAACAGAAACTCTATGGAAAAAACCAGAACTTTGGTTGCCTTTCAAAATAGCAACAACAATACATCTCAACAATTAAATCCCAAATCTCAAAGAAGACTACAAAAGAAAAAAAGAAAGTTTCTCCTTAGAGACATAAAACTTAAAAGAGAAAATAGAAATGATATCATATTCTTGGTAGAGACAACATAATTATCTTCACATAGAATGATCAACCCAATGAATTTGTAGACATGAAAGTCAGACATTTCTTTTTTTTTTTTAAGATTTTATTTATTTATCTTTAGAGGGGAAGGGGGGGAAGGAGAGAGGGAGAGAAACATCAATGTATGGTTGCCTTTCGTGCGTCCCCTGCTGGGAACTGGCCTGCAGGGAACCGGCCTACAACCCAGTCATGTGCCCTGACTGGGAATCGAACCACGATCATGTGGTTCGCAGGCCCGAGCTCAATCCACTGAGCTACCCCAGCCAGGGTGACATTTCTTTTTTTAATTGAAAAAACTTGTCTAAATTTATAAAATTTCTGCAACTTGGGAGACAGAAGTGAGGAGTATAGGTGAGCTTCCTCCTGAGAAGAGGAAGGCTCAAATCTTTGGAAGTACCTTCCATTTTCCCCTTCTGATAATAATAGCAAGTCCTGGACTTCCGCTAAGATGGAGGCGTAGGTGGAAGCACTGTACCTTCTCACACAACTAAGTTTAAAAACAACAAAGTTTTAGCAACAAAAACGCAGCCAAACCACAGAAAATTGAACTATATGGAAGTCTGACAACAACGAACCCTTCAGCCAAACCGGTAAGAGGGGCAAAACCAGCAACAGAGTGGGGATGGGCAGGGAAGATCCACCAGACCAACCTGGGAACGTGACCCAGGTGTGCCAGCAGGTGTGGGTGGATCCCAGGTGTGGAGAAGCGGGTGGACCCAATGAGGGTGCAAAGCATTGGACCCACTGAGGGCTGACCACAGTCACACATTTGCATGCAGATAAACCAGTGAAGAAGCTAGCAGTGAGATGGACCATGCAGACCCCAGTGGCACGAAGCGGCAGAGGGAACCGCCATTGTCCCTCTCTAACCCTGCCCCCACATACAGGGTCACAAACCAGCGACCTTAGTGGCCCCTCTCTGACCACGCCCCCAAATACAGTCACAAACCCGTGACCTGGGTGGCCCAGCCCTGGTGAACAACTAAGGCTCCACTCCTCATATGTAACAGGCAAGAACAGATCAAAACAGGGCTCAAGAGCAACTCAGAGCCCCAGAGCTGATAAATCTAAGCGAACAAGAAATTGCCAACCTATCAGAGGCACAGTTCAAAACACTGGTCATCAGGATGCTCACTTAACTGGTTGATTTTAGTCACAAATTAGAGGAACATGTGAAGGCTAAACTAATTGAAATGAATGGAAATATACAGGAAACCAATAGTAATGGAAAGGAAACTGGGACTCAAATCAAGGGAGTGGACCAGAAGGAGAAAAAAAATGACCAAACAGAAAAGGATGAAGAAACAAGAATTCAAAAAAATGAGGAGAGGCTTAGGAACCTTCAGGACATCTTTAAACATTCCAACATTCGAATTATAGGGATACCAGAAGGGGAACAGGAACAGCCACGAGTGGAAAACTTTTCTGAACAAATGATAAAGAAGAACTTCCCCAATCTGGCAAAGGAAATAGACTTCCAGGAAATCCAGGAAGCTCAGAGAGTCCCAAAGAAGTTGGACCCAAGAAGGAACACACCAAGGCACATCATCATTATATTAGCCAAGATTAAAATGAAGGAGAGAATCCTAGAAGCAGCAAGAGATAAATAAGGGGACAGTCACCTACAAAGCAGTTCCCATCAGACTGTCAGCAGATTTCTCAAAAGAGACCTTACAGGCAAGAAGGGGCTGGAAAGAGGTATTCCAAGTCATGAAATCCAAAGACCTACATCCAAGATTGATCTATCCAGCAAAACTTTCATTTAGAATGGAAGGGCAGATAAAGTGCTTCTCAAATAAGATCAAATTCAAGGAGTTCATCATCTCCAAGCCCTTATTATATGAAATTTTAAAGGGGCTTACCTAAGAAAAAGAAGATAAGAAATATGAACAGTGAAAGGACAGCAAACTCACAGTTATTAATGACCACATCTAAAAAAAAGCTAACTAAGAGGACAGCTAGATCAGGAGCAAAACCATAGAAATGAAGATAACATGGAGGGTTAGCAACAGGGGAGTGGGAGAAGGGGGGAGAAGGTACAGAAAATAAGTAGCACAGATGGTAGGTAGAAAATAGATAGGGGGGAGGGTAAGAATAATATGGGAAATATAGAATCTAAAGAACTTGAGACACGTGGTCAAAAACTAAAGGGGGGAATAGTGGAGGAGGGGGTGTGCAGGGTGGAGGGGAATGAAGAAGGGGAAATAGAACAACTGTAATGGCATAATTAATAAAGTATATTAAAAAAAGAAAAAATAATAATAGCCAGTCCTCAGACTGGGACAACACAGACTGACTTGGCTAATTATGAGCTCTGAGCATTGAGCTCCCAAATCCATGCAAGAATAAATCTTCAGCTTTGCCTCCAGCCTTTGAAGTTCCCTGTCTCATTCCAGTGGGCTTCACATCTCATGTCACTGCATCAGGAGACCCATGACAAACTCAGCCATACTGCCAAGCCCTGGGGATGGAGCCTGAACCTTCAGTGCCCACACAGGGCAGCAGCAGTGGATTTTCACTGCCTGGTCCTCCTGCAGCAGAGACAAAACAGCCCAGTGAGTACTGTGGAGATGATGGATGGAGCAGGGACTGTCAGGGGCATTTTCTCTTTCATCATTAGGACAAACAGGAGAGTTGAGGCAAACAGATGGGAGGGGCACCGACATGGAAAGTTTCAGATATTTTGATCCCTGTACAGGCAGATTCTGAATACATGGAGGGAAACAATTGTCCAATTCATTTCTGGTCCCTCAGGACCTACACTCTGCTCAGCAGAAAACAACAACAATCTCTGTTAAATATTGAGCAGACTCTGCCTTGGATCTCAGGAACAGAGAGTAGGCAATATTGCTGCCACACAGCAGGTGCTGTCCTTCCTGGGTTTTCATTCTTCCAGCAATGTCTCAGAGGATCAGATTGGAGATACGACTGTGCCTGCATGTATCAATGGCACTGATTTTCTAAGAAGCCTATCCATTTTCATTTAATAGGATCTACAACACTAAAACAGAAAGAAAAACTGTGGTGATTTTCATAAAGAGGAAAAAAGAAAGAGAATTAAGTCTTACTGTGTGGACTGAAATACATGTTAGGATTTCCACTTACTCTGTGAACGAATTACCTGGGACCTGATAGGCTTCCTCCCCTCACTGCTATCTGATGGAATAATGTGTCACCATACCTTTCTCACGATTGTTTTAATCAACAAACCCACTATTTCAACCTGATTTTAAAAGCATGACTGAACATGTCTTGAGAGCAAACCTCTGTTAGATGTCACATGTTTCCCAGAGGTGGGTGCTATTCTCCGATTTCTATGTAAGAGATACCCACCCAGAGGGGTGGAGAGATCACACATACTTCACATTGAGTGGGTGACAGCTGGAGGACTCAGTCCCTGATTCCCACCCCAGGGCTCTATCCCATCCACTGCAGCACAATGATTGTTTCTTTCCAAACCTGCTTTATCCTCAGATCAGCAAACGGGGGCTCAACCACCAATTCCTTCTCTTGGGATTGGGTGAGTTCACCTATGAATTAACAAAATGAACCCTCAGGTTTGCAGGGACATTTACTGAATGAATGTGTGGATCCTAGGGGTTTGTATGGATAGTAATGTATGTGTGAGCACATTTTGTAAAGCTGAGAAATGGAGATATCATTCCCTGTATGAAATGGGGATTTTCATGTGGTTATACCATGAAAAGACTACTGCTAGTCAGACGTCAGAGAACTTGCTAATTTCATCCCTTGGCAATCACTTTTTTTTCTCATTTTTCTATTGGGAAAATAAATATAGGTAATTAATAGTAAAACTGTATATATATCCATTTTTTTACAACTCAAATCTTTTGTGCCTATATCTTTAAGAAATTCTCACTTGTGTGATGTGGAGAGGGGTGTAAGAATTTTCTTACCACTGTCACAGAAAAAAATTGAAGAATAAAATGAAGTTTAACCCACAGGTAATATTAGGCATCATTTAAAGTGCTGCAGTAGGTGTATGCATAACACAGAGACTTAAAAAGCAGTGCTGTGGTTAATGAGACTCAGGGAACAGTATGTGTAGTATGTGGGTATATAGGTAAGTTTTTAGGAAAATTACTATGAATGCATAACTCACTACTAATATTATAAAAATATTGTAAGGAAAACGCATCCACCAGATTCATGACAGTGTTTGCCTTCAGACAATTGAAGTGCATGGGAAGTTCATGCAGGGATGGGAAAAAACCCTCAAGTTTTATCAGTAACAAATACAAATCCTACAGCATGTATTATTACATATTCATAGTTTAATATGAAAAGTGGGTAAAATGATATGGAAAAGAATTAATAACTTAAATACAGTGTTTATTCACTTTCTGAGAATGGTTCTCTGCTCTGGCTTTATGACTGTTCCAAAGGACTTACGTGTAGAAATTCTGATTTAATTGGTCCCAGGTTATGGCCAGCCCATTGCTAAATTTTTAAAATTATGTTTTTTTTAATATATATTTTTAATTTATTGAGTTATTTTTCAAGTACAGTTTTCTTTTGTCAATTTCTCCCATCCCAACCCCCCCCTCCACCCCGTCTCCCCACCTCCCTCCCATCCCCTCCCTCCCCACAGACCTCATCCCTGTGTCTTTCATACTTGTTCTTCAAAATCCCTCCTCATTTTTCCCCTTAAATTCCCTTCCCTCTCCCCTCTGGTGGCTGCCCACTTGTTCTCTATTTTAGTGTCTTTGTTTTTATTCTATTTGCTTGTTTATTTTGTTATTTAGCTTCCTGTTAAAGGTGAGATCATATGGTATTTGTCCTTCAATGCCTGGTCTATTTCACTCAGCATAATGCTTTCCAGTTCCATCCATGTTGTTGCAAAGGGTAGTAGCTCCTTCTTTCTCTCTGCTGCATAGAATTCCATTGTGTATATGTACCACAATTTTTTGATCCATTCATTTACTGATGGGCACCTAGAAAATCTCAGATATTCCACGCAGCAATATTTTTACCGATATGTCCCCTAGAGCAAGGGATATACAGGAAAGAATAAACAAATGGGACCTCATCAAAATAAAAAGCTTCTGCATGGCCAAAGAAAACAGTATTAAATTAGCAAGACAACCAACTGTATGGGAAAACATATTTGCCAATGATACCTCAGACAAAGGTTTAATCTCCAAAATATACAAAGAACTTCCAAGACTCCACTCTAGGAAGACATCAAACCCAATTAAAAAATGGGAAAAGGACTTGAACAGACACTTCTCAAAATTATGTTTTTATTTTATTGTATTTGTTACATTACCATTTAACCCCATAAACCCTTTTCCAGCTTTACCCACTCATCCCTACCATAATCACCATACTGTTGTCTGTGTCTATAAGGTCCAGGAGCTGAATTGAGGAGAAATGCAATCCCTCTCAGGAACAATTGACTTGAACAGCATTTCAGCTGGCGACCAACTTGCGGTTTGAGGCCTGGCTTTGGTTCTCATTTTGTCTACTGTTTGTTAGAGAGTTGGATTTGATGAGAAATCAACTTTCACCAACGTTTGTGGTTAGAGACAAATTTAAAAAATTTTAAACCGCCACAATGAACAAAAAAAAAACAGTAAAGTGGAAACTCAAGTGCGAATGTTTCTTTGAGAGAAACAGACAGAAAGTAAGCTTTCACTAAAGAAAAATGAGTACAGACTACAGAGTATTCATAAAAGTGAATTATTATTTAATCATTGGTGCGCTGTAAACTAACACCATCTTTAGGATCAGGGGTGCTATATGATTTTGTGCATTTAATAAAGACACGTTTTGTAAAACGTGAAGTCCACAAAGGCCAAAAATGTACATATTTGAGTTATAGTTGAAGGACTGACTTTGATCAGAGAACCCACGTATTTGAGTGAGCATGTATCTCCATGGAAGATGGATATTGCAAATCCAAGTAAAGATGAAAACCCTTGAAGATAATTGCCATACAAAAATCTATCTGCTTCTGAACATTTTATTTTATGTTAGAATACAGTTAATGTGGTTTTAGCTTTTCAAGACTACATTCTAAATTTAGGGAATTTCTGGTACTGCATCTGAGTGAGAGAAAGTACCAATTCCACTGCTTCTTAGCATCTTCCAATTAAGACGATTGTTTTTGGAGAAAACAATCATTCATATTTTTACTTTCAAAGCAGAAGGCTGATGTTTTGCTCTGTTGATGGAATTTTAAAATCTCAAATGCCCTTTCTTATCTAATATTCTTTGAGCCAGAGTCTCTAAAGTGGTTGTTCATAGAAACAGGGGAACAGCCCAGACATCCATAAAAAAAAGACTTCTAAAAGAGTTCACAACTGAGAAATGTTGCCAAAGACTAAGGTGGGTGGTAGGTGGTGGGTGGTGTATGGTCCTCAAGCTCAAGTGTGATTCCTTTATTTGTGAATTGCTTGAATGGAAAAAATGGATGTGTCTACACTAGTTTTAATTATTCAACACTCTCTTCTTTTTCAAACTGTGTCCTCTCTGAATAGTACCACAGAATCAAACAGGTGACTCTGAATTCTTCCTCCTGGGACTGTCAGATGATCCAGAGCTGCAGCCTCTTCTGTTTGGGCTGTTCTTGGCCATGTACTTGGTGACCGTGCTGGGGAACCTGCTCATCATCCTGGCTGTCAGTTCTGACTCCCACCTCCATACACCTATGTACTTCTTCCTTTCCAATTTGTCCCTGGCTGACATCAGTTTCAGCAGCACTACAGTCCCCAAGATGCTGGTGAACCTCCAGACATACAGCAAATCCATCACCTATGCAGGCTGCCTAACTCAGGTCACGTTTTTACTTGGAAGTTTGGAAAGTCTACTTCTGGCTGTGATGGCCTATGACCGGTTGGTGGCCATTTGTCAGCCTCTACACTACCTGGTCATCATGAAGCCCTGCCTCTGTGGCTTGTCTGTCTTGCTGTAACTTTTAGTCAGCCTTTTGGTCTCCCAGCTGCACTACTTGATGGTGTCACGACTTACCTTCTGTGCCTATGTGGAAATTCCTCATTTCTTTTGTGATGCTTCTCAACTCCTCAATCTTGCCTGTTCTGACACCTCCACTAATAACATATGTATCTGTTTTTTTGGTGCTCTCATGGGTGGTGTTCCACTCTTTGGGATCCTGTTTTCTTACACTCGAATTGTTTCCTCCATTCTGAGAGTCCCATCATCAGGGGGGAAGTATAAGGCCTTCTCCACCTGTGGCTCTCACCTGTCAGCTGTTTGCTTATTTTATGGAACAGGCCTTGGTGTGTACCTCAGTTCCACTGTGTCATCCTCCCTGAGGAAATGTGCAGTGGCCCCAGTGATGTACACCATTTTCACACCCATGCTGAACCCCTTCATCTACAGTCTGAGGAACAGGGACATCAAGAGTGCTCTATGGAGGGTGATCAGAAGGATAACCTAGTTTTATACTTATAGATCTTTTTTGGCTCATAGACCAGAATTAGTAGCAAAGTCAAACATATGTAAGAAGAAATTCTGAATCCACAGTCTCATTGTGTATTTGTACCCATATGGATCTGCTCTCTGTCTACACAGGTTTTCCTCTTAGCACAACTGTAATGGATTCAGAGGTCATTTGGACTCTGTACTTCAGTGAGAGTCTCTCCAGGATTATCCCAGCCCATAAGCATACCTGTCTTTCTTTCCTGTGCATTACCCAGGACTTCTGGTCCTGATTGTTGTTATTGTATCATTATAAAAATTTATAGCTCTTTCCTCTGTTTTGTATTTATTCTTTCTACAGTTTCCCCATGATTCTTCTCCATTTTTCCATATTTTGCTCCTTCATGAACGTGGTCAGATGCTTGATAAGATAGAATATTTAATTTCTTTTCCACACCAACATATTTTGAAATTGAAATGTGATGGCATTAATACTGAATTTGAATAAATTCTTATCAGCTGGGAGATTTGTAGAAAAACTGGGATGTATAGTTTCCAGTATTCTGATAATTCTTTTTCCCACTTCATCTAACATCTCCTCATCAGTTTCACAGCCAGACATGAAAGGACAAATATTATGTAATTTCACTTATGTGAGTCACTTAAAATAGTGAAATCTATAAGACATAAAGTAGAATATTGGTTGTCAGGGAATGGGAGAAGAGGTAACAGGGAGTTAGCATTTAATTAGAAAATAACAAGTTTCATGTTTGCAAGATGAAAAGACTTGTGGAGATGGATGGCGATGGTGGTGGTACAGCAATGTGAATTTACTTAATGATACTGAACAGGACACTTAAAATAATTAGGATAGCAAATTTTCTATCAGATTATTTTACTACATAAAAGAAATGATGTCATACTAGAGATGAGGGACATGTTGCTCCAAATGCCAAATTTACCACTCAGCCCTCAGCATCAGCTTCCTAGGGACCTGCCTCAGCTACAGAAAGCCAATATAGCCAAGGTCATGGCTCCTTCTGCAGCTGTCCACAGCCCATGATATATGGCCCCTTGGCACCAGTTCCAGCCAACTAGAAAGATTCATCCAAGACCCAGAGCTCCCTGGTGATTTTAGGAGGCCTTTGATGGGCTTCAACTTGGCTTGATTTTTGCACTGTCCTTGGTTGCTACAAAGTGTTTGCCAAACCACACAGAGAGGGAATAATCTCTGCAGAACTGTTTTCAATTCAGACACCAGCCACAGGTTCAGGAGTCCCCAGGCACCCTCACTTCAGATCAGCAGGCCACAATTAAGGGACTCCCTTACTTTCAATGATTTGCTAGAATGACTCAAAGCAAGGGAATTCCCTCAGGTTCAATAATTCACCAGAATGAGCCACAGAACATAAGATAGTGCTAGACTTATGATTACACTTTTCCTATAGCAAAAGAATACAAAATAGGGCTAGTTAAAGGAAGATACACATGACATGGGAAAATATCTGAAAGGTCCCATAAGTAAATCTTGTTGTTTTCTTCTCCCCGTGAGGTTCAAATCCATTATTTAATCCTGGCCACAATGTGAGACAATAGTCAGAGTCTTGCTAACCAGGTAGGATACCTGAGCTTCAGTGTTCAGAGACTTTATTGAGGCTTCATTTCATTGGGATAAATTGAATCATTTCCCATTTGATTGAACTCACTCTCCAGCCTTCCTCTCCAGACACTGGGCTGCCTTCAGTTCCTCTAAAGCACCAACCCTTCACATACATGCCTGGTCTCTTTGGCACAATCCATTGCCGTCTTCAGTCATCTCATTAGCATAAACTGTCAAGTGTGGTCCATGGGGTCCCCCACAATAATCAATCACTTTGCTCACTAGGTAAATTTCAAGGGCTTAAGGGTTGCCTCCCAGGACCTGGGAAAAGATCATATCTTTCTGTAAATGAGGACAAATTCTTTCCCACACATCTGCTCTTCCACAGGTGTTGAGTCCAGGAGTGCTACCTGGTAACCTTTCTGCATGTTCATCACTGTTTCTGAGTCTTTCTATGAGGAAGCCAACTTGGGATAACTCCTTGCTAATAAAATTATTTTGGGATGATGTTAAGACAAATCCAAGGTAGTTTTCTTAAATAGTCAGCAATGCTTTATAAATTAGAAGGCCAGTGCTTGGCTCAGTGATGGAAAAATTCAAGAAGAGGAGATGAGGTATTGAAATTCTGGGGAAGTAGGTAGGTCCCCATGGAAAATCTTAGTCAATGTAGAAATCCAAACTTAGAAATGCTTGATACAAAGGGAGAACACAGTTTATGATAATAACATCTGCATAAGTATTATACTTCAAACATGTTTATTTAAAAATATTAAGCCTTAGAATGTAAATATAATATGAGTTAAGGGTGATAATTTATTTGGCCTGTGTTATCTTGAGATATCTAGAGGCCCTAAGTTCCAATCAGAGGCACCCACTTGGCCCTGCTCTTTGTTCCAAGTTTGGTGAGTTTCCCTTGATTCTGGTTGTGTAGGTACAGAAAGCATTCAGAATAAGACAGTGTCTAATAGTAAGGATATTGCTGTCTTCTTGGGAAAAGGAGGTGTCTGACGATATGAGAGAGGAATGTTTCAAGTCTTATCCTTACAATATAGAGATGCACAGACAGGTGACCTCAAAGAGTGGAAGGAGCTTTAACTGCGAGCTGGCTGACATACTACTTAACTCACTTCCTGTTTCTTCTCTCAAAATTCATGAGAGTATAGCTGCTCAGATTTGTCGGAGATTTGTATTTTCTATTCTTGCAATAGTGTCCTAAAAGGCTTGTGAATATTCACTCTCTCCCCTTTTTCATGGAAGCCAGTGTTTGTTTTTTGTTTTTGGTGTAATCAGAACTCCTTGCTGAGGTCTATAAACCCTTCATGGTTTATTTTCTTCTATCCCTTTTCAAACCTATCACTGGTCACTGGTCCATTTAACAGAATTACCCTGGGAGCTTATACGTGCTGAATTTCAGGACTTGCTTCAGACCTGAAGAATCAGAACCTCTGCAGCTGGAACCCATTACAAGAGATTTTGTTGCATGCTAAGTTTGTTTACCCAAATACTCTTACTTGTTGTTCTTCAAACAAACCATGTTCTTTGTAACCTGAAGACCATTAAACTTAATTATCTATGTCTAGAATGATCTTCCTCTTTGTTACTTAAGTCTTCATTTAAATATTGCACTTAAGATGTCATCTAAACACCATCTAAATTCTCCTGATATTCTCTTCATCCACTTAGTCTGAATTCCTCTTGTATTGTCATTACCTTCTGAGTGAACTCACATGTTTTGAGTATTATAAAATAAAACATTTCTACCAGGATGCCTCAATTACTCTGTTCTAAATTAAACTGATTTGGGTCCTGAAGTAAATGAGTTTTGGTCCTCTTCAAATCGAAAGTTTTTTTGTGAAATGTGGTATTTTTGGCATAAAGAGGGAAGACACTGGGCACTTTCACTGCCAAAAAGGTTCTTTGATAGAAATTTGTTATAAAGAAATTTTGATATACAATCTTCCAAAACTCAATGAAGAGAAGCAGAAAGCCTGAAAAGACTAATAACAGCAGATGAAATTGAAGCAGTAATCAAAAAACTTCTGACACACAATAGTCCTGGACTGGATGGTTTCACAGGAGAATTCTACAAAGCATTTAAGAAAGTGCTAACCCATACACTTCACAGTCTGTTCCAAAAAATCCAAAATGATGGAACACTCCCAACCTCTTTTTATGAAGCCAACATCATCCTAATCCCAAAACCAGAAAAGACACAACAAAGAAAGAAAACTGTAGGCCAATGTTGCTGATGAACATAGATGCTAAAATCCTTAACAAAACATTGGCAAACTGCATCCAACAATACATTAAAAAGATTATACACCATGACCAAGTGGGATTTATCCCAGGGATGCAAGGACGGTACAATATTCACAAATTAATAAATGTAATTCATCACATAAACAAAAGCAAAGACAGAAACCACATGATCATATCAATAGGTACAGAAAAGGCTTTTGATAAGGTACAGCACTTAGGATAAGGTACACCATTTATGATAAAACACTCAGCAAAGTGGGAATACAGGGAGCATTCCTCAACATAATAAAGGCCATATATGAGAGACCTACAGCCAACATCATACTCAATGGGCAAAAACTAAAATTTTTTCCATTAAGATCAGGAGCAAGACAAGGTTGTCCACTTTCACCACTTGTATTCAACATAGTATTGGAAGTTTTAGCCACAGCAATCAGACAAGAAAAGGAAATAAAAGGCATCCAAATCAGAAAGGAGGAAACAAAACTGTCATTGTTTGCAGATGACATAATAGTGTTCATAGAAAATCCTATAGACTCCGCCAAAAAAACTCCTCAATCTCATAAGTGAATTTGGCAAAACAGTGGGATACAAAGTCAATATCCGGAAATCAAGGTGTTTTTGTATACCAACAAGGAAACAGCAGAAGCAGAAATCAAGAAAAAAATCCCATTTGATATAGCAACAAGAAAAATAAAAATATCTAGGAATAAACCTAACCAAGGAGGTAAAAGACATGTATGCAGAAAAGTACACAACACTGAAGAAAGAAATCAAGGGAGACACAAACAAATGGAAACATATACCATGTTCATTGGGTTAGAAGAATTAACATCATTAGAATGTCCATACTACCCAAAGCAATTTACAGATTCAATGCAATATCTATTAAAGTACATATGACATACTTCACAGACATAGGACAAACGCTTCAAAAATTTATATGGAGCCATAAATGATCCTGAATAGCTGCTGCAATTTTGAGAAAGAAGAGCAAAATAGGAGGGATCACAATACCTGTTACCAAACTGTATTACAAAGACCGTTATAATCAAAACAGCCTGGTCCTGGCATAGAAACAGGCACATAGACCAATGGAACAGAACAAAGAGCCCAGAAATCAACCCAACTCTCTACAGCCAATTCATATTTGACAAAGGGGGCAGTAACATAAAATGGAGTAAAGATAGCCTCTTCAACAAATGGTGTTGGGAGAACTGGACAGCTACGTGCAAAAAAAAAAGAAACTTGAGCACCAACTTAAACCATACACCAAAATAAATTCAAGGTGGATAAAAGACTTAAATATAAGCCATGACACCATTAAAGTCCTAGAGGAGAACATTGGCAAGAGAATCTCAGATATTCCACGCAGCAACATTTTTACCGATATGTCCCCTAGAGCAAGGAATATAAAGGAAAGAATAAACAAATGGGATCTCATCAAAATAAAAAGCTTCTGCATGGCT